CCCTCCCTCCCTCCCTCCCTCCCCCTCTCCCCTCCTGTCTCTAGTCAGATTCCCTAGAGAAGTTGGAAACTAATGGCTGGAAGTCGATGATACTTGGCTTTTAAGGATCTGTTCGGCTCGTTCCTCGACTGCGGAGAACCTTCCTTCCACTAGACGAAGTTAACTTCGCAGTGAGGCGAAGGCCGTTTTCGCAAATGATCGCGCGCCAGCCTTCAATCGCGATGCTCGACTTTAGAACAGAACCGGAATATCGAACTCTCGACACGTCGACGAGGATCCCGAGGAGTTAATTCGCGTTCTCACGCGTCCGATGTTTCTTCGTTCTTCGTGTCTTCAGGTCTCCTCTTAGCTGTGAACGTGAACTATTCGTCGTGAAAAGTACGGGGATAGTAACTAGGATTTGTTGCTCAAATTGAATTAAATTGTGGGGCAGGAAACATATTTGCGAATTTTTTACAATATTCTGGGACTAGACTCGACTGGTTCTTCTCACATAATTTTCTAAACATTTTCTTGCACGACTTGAAGATATATGTGTGTAACTTTTGTGCACACACAGGATCAAGTCATCTTTCAGACGTTATTTGTTTCAATTCATTTTTGTTACAGAATAAAGAATAATGGAAGATTAACGCGTAGAAACTTTCTGCTGGAGCGTATTGAATTATATCCAATCGAAGAAGTAAAATTCAACGCGTGCGAAGCCTACACGTGGTTCCGTCGGAGAGTATTTCCCAGATTACGTAACAAGCACACATCGTCAAAGTTTTACAATATTTTGGGACTAGACTCGACTGGTTCTTCTCACATAATTTTCTAAACATTTTCTTAGCTAGCTTGCGCGACTTGAAGTCAATCTGAATATATGTGTGTGACTTTTGTGCACACACAGGATCAAGTCATCTTTCAAACGTTATTTGTTTCAATTCATTTTTGTTACAGAATAAAGAATAATGGAAGATTAACGCGTAGAAACTTTCTGCTGGAGCGTATTGAATTATATCCAATCGAAGAAGTAAAATTCAACGCGTGCGAAGCCTACACGTGGTTCCGTCGGAGAGTATTTCCCAGATTACGTAACAAGCACACATCGTCAAAGTTAAAACCACACGACGATGTTCGCTGTGTTTGAAAAATAATACACGGAAGGAATCTAGATATTGGCTCTCGACCTGCAAAGTGCGATTATGTGTTCAAGAAATATCATTCTGACAGAATAAATTAAATTTCCAATTTCTTTTCATCTTTTCCAAATATTTGATTCTTTCGTTCAAGTATTTTTTGTGAATAGTATTGATTAAGTTCGACGATAAAATTATTGATTCTTCAAAAAAAAAAAAAAAAAAAAAAACCGTGTTATTTCCTTGTAATTTAATTCAATTCTAGCAGCTCTAGGCGCTCTGCGTTTGACGAGTATAATCGTCATGTGCGACACAATGTAGACAGGCGCGCATTTTAGCGATACCACAACTAAGAGATTAAAAAGAAATATTCGCGTCGCGTGCAAGGATAAATTAAGTGGAAACGCATCGCGTTTCATTTAATTTCAACGAGTGAACGCCACTGTGCTTCAAC